TTTTTTGATGTTGAGCTTCAGACCATTTTTTGCACTCATCTCTTTCACCCTCATTACAAGGTTCCTTAATTCCTCCTCACTTTCTGCCATCAGAGTGGTGTCATAATTTGAACATATATGAACATCCTGACCATTTCCACAGTGACTGCCTATCTATTAAATAAACAAAAACTGGTGTTTGAAGGGCATAGATATTGAAGCAGGAAGCAGCTTATTTTTCTCTGAATCTGTTTTAGAGAAAAACTGGCTATGGCCAGTAGCAATAATGTTGTCCATGCATGGAATTCTAAAGAAAATTGCTAATTAATAAGTACTAGTTAAAATCCTATTTTACAGTTAGAACAGTCGGAAAGAGTGGGAAAGAACTGATGTGACCCCTGGATAAAATCTATTGTAATCAATAGCCACCGCCCCGCTTGGATTTCCATTGGATTGGTGTGCAATGGGGAATCCAAGCAGGAACTCATAAATTATCAGTAATGGCTGCAGGTTACACTGTTTCCTTTATGCTGGTATACTGTAATTTTCTTTGCAAAAGGATTTGGGCCATAGTGAGCTAAGAATCTCTGGTCTATGTTCAAGCTGTTAAACAGACTTTGGAATCTGTGTATCTAGCTTATCTCAGCTGCTTCCCTCTCCAGTTTCCTTTTGTGAGTTGTTTTTGTGCAACATGAACTTTCAGATCTTGAATAGCTGAAGTATTCTGAAACTGGCTTTTGTGTTTTACCATTTCAGATGCCAGATTTGTGTCAGTTTCTCCTCTTGTGCAGAGATTGTCGTGTTGTATCATATAGAATGCAGAGAGTCCCTGCTGACAGTAGATGGCATAGATCACATTGGTGGATGATCAACATAAGGAGCTCCTGATTTTGCCAGTGACATTGCTGAGGCCAGTAATGGTGACACCAACTATTGTTGTTTGTCAGCTACTGAGTGTCCATAATATATGTGGGTCTCGGTAAGAACTGTAAGTCACTTATAATAATATTCTGTGGTTCTATATGTCTGTCTTGTAATGTAAAGGTGGACCACAGCACGCCAGGCCCTCCTATCTATATGTCTGTCTTGTAATGTAAAGTGCTGTTTTGGGGTATCTGTCCTGCCTTTCTTTTTTTTTTCACTGAGTGAACATTGTGTGATCTGGTATAGCCCAGTTAATTACAAACCCTGAGCACATGATGACCTTCTTCATGTAAGGTGGATTCATATGCACACTTAACATGACTACAGAGGTGCTTTCATAGGCACCATGTGGAAGGGATTGTAAGTGTAGGTGTACACTGGTGAATGAATAATCAACCACTAACTTGTAGGGAACATGCTATTCACTTCACTTTATTGTATATATGAATAATTAATTATGACTAGAAAACATGCATATAATACAAATACATTTCCTTTCTGCATCAAGGTTTTTAAGTGGTTAGACAAATTCCTGAAAGGAGGGAACAATTTCCCACAACAACCCTTTTTCTCTCTGCTAGGAGTAAAATGTTTGTCTGTCCCCATGCAAATGTCTTGGGTTCCAGTGAAAGCTTGCATTTCCAATCTGTCCCCCCTCCACCCGGCATGTCATATAAGACTATCACCAGACTTGGAAAGAAATTTTTTTAAAAAAAATATACAGCAGCAGTGGGAGACAGCCAGCATGAGAGCAGGAAGGTGCAGAACAAAGCCTCATATATAACAATTCTAAATTCCCATGTTGTCCCCTCCACCATTATAAAACACAGTTTAAAATGGATTGAAAGTTTTCCCAGGAGAATGCACACTCCAACTCCAAAACCACATGACTACCATGTGACTTCGAAATATTTTCAAAAACTTTCATCCATCTGCCAATGTATTTTCATAGTGCAACCATATTCTCAGTTTATGTTTAATACATTACTCATTCTTACCAATCTCCATAAATGCAATTGTATTGCACCTAGTGACAGAGCTGCAGCCATGATTTGCTGGGCTTTTCTTTTGTTTTATTTATCAAAAATCACTTTTATCAGATAGCTTGAAAATTCTAGTCAGCCAAGCAAAATCAGATTCAACAGGAATATTTTTTTCTGAAGCCAGCAAGATGCAGGAGTCAACGGTGTTAGCTATTATTGTCTCGACGTGGTGCTCGGTGATCAAAGAACATGAAATCCTACACCGAAAACAACAATCAGAAATGAAACAAACCTGAACAAAAGATTTTGCTTCATTTCCATATTACACAAAATATCCCAAAGTAAAACCATTTACAGTATGGGAAATACGAGAACCTCACGCTATGTTGTGTCCGTGAACTGCAAGAGGGTAGGGCTTTTGTTACTTGTCTTTGTGCTTCTGTTAAGTTGACGTAAAACAGAGAAACAGTTTTGGACTTGTTTGTGGTCTTTGTACATGACTCAGTCCCATTGTGTGGAGTCAAAAGCTATGTTATGTTTGAAGGAAAATCAAACTCCTAGCCTTGGCTCTTCAGCCAGATACCTAAACCACTCAGCTATCCAGGAGTTCTTTCTTAACGTCTTTTTATATTTTTCACCCACGACATCCTATAGATTTGATCTCATCCTACAAATTCTCCTCTGTGTGCTTCTTTTGATTAATATAAATTTGACATGAACCTTCCAAAGCTGGGCTGCCTGGTACAACAGATCAGCATGTGCATCATAAGAAACGTCTTGTGCTTTTAAAGCATTAATTTGCTGGTGTAGTTTTAAGATGGGCCAGTAAGCCTCTACTGCCATTCAGCTCCAAAGTGTCTCTGAAGAAACCAAAGGTCAGGCATACATACATGAAGACTCTTATACTGAATTGTGTCAGGATATTATGACCCACAATTTAGAATTTAATCTGTAGTACATGAACCAAAGTTTGCTAACAGGCATCCATCTTAAAACAGGCGTGTAGCCAGACAGTCAGCACATGAAGCTGATGCAATCCATGAAATGTGTATTGGACATGAGGTAGTGTCTGAGAGAAGACATCAGGTGATGTGCCCAGTGATTGGTTGTTCAAACTATATAAGTGCCGCACACTACAATGCTATGTGGAGTATTGTGTTGGAGAGTTGCTACACAAAGTGCTGTCTGTTTATTTACTTTAAGTGTATTATTGAGTCTGTTGACAGATGTACATAAATAGATCCATTGTACGTAGTCTGTAAATACATTGCTAGTGAAGGAAACTACTGTCTCTGTGAGTCTCTGTGTTGTCAACCTGGAAGACTGACTTGTCTCAGAGCTATCTGTCACATCCCAAATCTTGGCAAATTGTGCAGAAATTTCTTTAGCTTGGTTAGTCTTAATATTCTGAGAAGGAACAAGCAACATAATTTGACCTACCAGGAGGATGCAAGTCCCAAGCACGAGGGCTTTCATTTTCACGTCAAGATCCAGTGGGAACTGGATTCCAAAGAGGCTGGCAGATCCAATAGCTTCCCTTGCCATTCCAGTCCATTGTTTAGTTACAATGCCAATTGTAGCAGTCTCATCTAGTGGTTTCACCTAATTTTTAAATCGAATGTAGAAGATAAAAACTCAGTACTTTAACGTGTAATCTGCAGGCAGCATGTCCCAAGTTCAGTGTCTCTACAAGAAGTTCCCTGATGGAAATCCCAGATAGCTATAGTGAATCATCAGAAACCAGGGCTAGCCATCTCAGAAATCCTTAAAATCATGATGGCTGAGAATTCTGGTGGGAGTTGGAAATCCACAAGATCTAGAGCAGCAGTTCCCAACCTTGGGTAACCAGGAGGACTGCAATACCCAGATGCCTTCACTACCAGCTGAGAACTGTTTTTGGGAACTGCAGTCTAAGAATACCTGGTTACCCAAGTTTTGGAAGCAGCAATCTAGAGGGTTACTCACCCCAGCCAAGACAATATGGAGCAAGGTCACAGTTTCCTTCATTTAATCCTGCCACTGTTTTTCTGCTTTAAAATTGTTTAAATAAGATCAAATAAGGTAAATAATATACTGTTCCATTTACCATCCTTCCTGCTGATAGTTTTTTTTCACAAGAAAGCTGTATAGTATGGTGCCAGAAGTCAAGAACAGCTTGAGGGCATATAATTACATAACATTGTGCAATTAGGCATATATAATTTTAGGTATCCTGAGCTGTTATTAGCCACCAAGTCACTCCCAATATATGGGATATTGATCTCCAGAAAGTCCTATTATTCACAGCCTTGCTCAGCTCTTGAAAATTCAAGGTTGTGCCTTCGTTTATGGAGGCAACCCATCTCATATTCTGCCCTTCTCTTTCCTGCTGCCTTTAACTTTTCCCAACAATATTGTCTTTTTAAAGAAATCCAGTCTTCTCATGATGTGGTCTCAGCTTCTTCATTTTCCTTCCAAAGAGTTCAGGCTTGATCAGGTACCTGGTTATTTGTCTTTCTGGTGGCCTAAGGTATCCATAAATAGTCTGTTCCAATGCTACATTTCAAAAGAATTAGGTGTTTTTTTTCTCTTGCCAATTTTATTCACTGTCAAGCTGTTGTTTTCCTAGATAGCAATTGGAAGTACTTGCCCCAGAGGATTACTCTAGTTCCTTTATAGCTGCCCTGCTGTGTCTCAAACTGATTTCTTGGCAGCCATCTCCATTTGGCTCGATGACTAAAACAAGGTACATAAAGTCTTTAACAATTTCACTTCCTTTGTGGTTTACTTTATGGTCATATAATTCTTCTGTAGTTATGATTTCTATCTTCTACATTTTCAACTAGAGTCCTGATTTTTGCATTTTCTTCTTTCCCCTGCAGGAGTCATTTCAGGTCAAATCATTGCTGATTTCTGTCAGTAATATGGTGTCTTCTGCAAATCTTAAACTATTGAAGTTTCTTCTCTCAGTTCTCAGTTCTTCATGTGAATTTCAACTGTCTAGAGATTGAACAAATGGGGTAAAATACACCCTTTTCTCACGCCTTTGTCTATGAGAAACCGTTCTGATTTTCTGTTTTCTTAACAGTACCTTCTTGTCCAGAGTGCAGGATATACTTTGGGACAATCTATGTTGAGGCATGCCCATTTCTTTAAGAAAAAGCCATAGTTTTCCATAATCCACACAGCCAGAATTTTTGCTGTAGTCTGTAAAGAACACAGTGATCTTCTACTGAAAATCTGTGTTACACTCCAGTATCCAACATTTACTTGCAATGAGACCTCTAATACCTTTTCCGTTCCAGAAAACAGTTGGAACATGAAGGCACATTTCACTCCATATATGGTAAAACTCTTTTTTCCTATACTTTGGAGCATCACTTTGCCTGGATGGGAAATTCATGCAATGTTCTTATAGTTACTGCAGTCCTAATCATCCCCATTCTTGTGGCACTTTCCCTAAAAACAAAAATAATGGAACACACATTGGCTTTTCATCTATCTTTAGCAATTTTAAGTTTTTCCTCAATCCTCCATCTAGGTTTTCTTTTTCTGTTGGCTAAAAAAAATGTATTTTGTGTTCCTGTGGGATTATATTTCTGGTTTCCATCCACAGTTCTAGACGGGACAAAAAAAAAGTCACTAAAAAAAGAGTATGTGAGGGGGCAGGGAGAGAAAGAGACATGAGCTGCTTTTATTTTTTTATTTTATCACATTCTGGAACCTGACATTCCATTCCTAAGGTAATAATCAGCATTATAGAGAATGCTTACCTCAAAATGGACATCCCGATAACACTGGCATGGAACACATGGGCCCTTCATTTTCAGTAGGCTTTCTCTGGTTTCATTTTGGAGGTCAAATTTAGGGAGACAGGGGTGCCACTTCTGCTTCACGTAGCCAATGACTGTGCCTAAAGGGGCCTGAACTTCAAGCTTCAAAAAATGCAGCATGATTATTAAAAGAAATGTCAAGTCTACATGCTGTCCTTATGCAGAAATGAACAAATATTTTGTTTTACAAAATTATTACGCCTACTCAGATAGGAAAACACATAAATAGAAATGTCTTGAGAATGAGGTAGAACCTAATTGCTGCCATCAGGCACCAAAGGAACCATTTTGAAAAACTATTTGAAAGAAACAGAGAGTCTAGCTGGGTAGAACCTAATTGCTGCCATCAGGTACCAAAGAAACAGCAGCAGTCCATTTTGAAAAACTATTTCAAAGAAACAGAGAGTCTAGCTTAGTGGACAGGTATGCAAGAGGAGAATGTGTTCTGCATGTTGCCTCTCAGTCTTCCGCCCACCAGATGTTTTAGACATCATCTTCCAGCCAGCATGGCCAATGGTGAAGGACTGTGGAAACTGAAGGATGAATGCTGAGAATGACTGTGTTAGAAAATTATGAGGTTATCCAGCCTAACCTCGCGTGTGAGGTACTCGGAGGATTGGAGGGCAGTAGGGAAAAGGAAACATGAAATATATAAAATAACCAAGTTGTTGAGTGACCCTGGATGACCATGATCCATCATTTCACCCTAGAAACTTACACCACAAAGTATGGCACAAATATCATACCCTTTCCCTTAGGATATTGGATTCTGCCTATAGTCTTTTGAGCAGCAGGCAGTTAAAAGATATGTAGCTATTTGTGGCATCTTGGTGTTCCTTCCCTCTTTTTCTGTTGACTCGTACCTTCCACACAGGTAATATTAACTTCTTGATGTATATCTCTTTCTCAAATCGTAACAGGTATATTCCTCAGTTGGATAGTGCAAAGAGTTTATGGATTTTATTGAACCTTATATATATTAGTGGAATAGAGCATAACGTAATGTATTATGATGATAGCATGATATTCATATGGATTCTATTCTACCCTGTGTCAGTTTCCCCTTTCTAATGACCTTGGGGGTGGATGGCTTTTCCTGGCAGAATAAAGTACCTAAGACTCAGATATATCTGATCAATAAAATAGACATATAGAGTCTTATTCAAGAGTCATGTCTGAATTCATATGGAAGTAGTATTTGGGACAGGGATGCACAGATGTGTCTTTGTCTCACAAGGCCTACCTGACACAGACATCAAAGCATTTGTGTGTTACCAGTTTTGTGTAAAACAGTTGTCATTTAAGAAATCATACCTCAAGAACCTTTTACCCAGATGTCCCCAAGTTTGGCACACAGCAAAAGTAGACTGTCTGTTATATCTGTGACAAATTTTGGTTTGATATGATGTCTAGTGTCTAGGTTATATGTTTTTATTTGTGGCACTCTTATTTGAGTGTTGGCCTATAGAATGCTGAATTGGATTATCACACAATACCTATTGCTGCATTTCTGTCCAGCAATAATACAACAGAAGTTAACAACACCGATTATCAGTACTCGGCTGAGAACCAATACTGTCCAAACAGAATGAGAAAGCTGGAAGTGACCTTCTGTCCGGCCACCCCCTCTTGTAGCAGGGGCAATCAGCCCAATAAAGCAAAATCTTAAAGGTTTCCATTTACTGTGCCATCTGAACTGACTCAGAAAGAGTAAATGGTACACTGCACACACCTACATGTATTAGCACATGTGTTTGTAAATGCCAGAAGTAGAATGAATAGACTTGCCATGTTTCAAACAGTCCTCTTAAATTGTTGCTGCCACTGCCCGACAGATACACCCCCCAGACCCTGCTATAAAACCTACCATGTCAGGGGAAATTCCACAGTGAAAGCACTGAAGGAACATGAGCACAAAGACAAGGTAAAAGTGAAGAAATAATAAAGCAAACAAACCTCAAGGACCAACCAAACTTCTATTAAATACATATGAAAGCACCCCCAAAGTTCATCATTGGGAGAACCAGAAAATGTACTGCAGAAAAAAATGATTACCAGAGGGGCTCATGGAAGACACATGGTTACTGACCTCCTGCAGGCAGCAAATACAAGGGCAGCAGCAAATGTCACACCGGCATTCTCTGGACAACTGCATGACTGGCTGGTTTGTACTGTCAAAGAGCTTTATGACGAATCCTCGCAAGCTCCCATGGCATTGCAGGCTGTACTCATCATTTTCTTCCTGTGCAAAGTAAATCCTCTGCCCCAGAGAGTTTCTGATTTCATATCGGTTTAATGTCTCAAAGCGACTTAATGCTGAAAAGGAAACAGCATCAACACAGTTCTTCTATTATTTCAAATTTTTGTCCTCAACATGAACTGCCATCTTTGGGGCCACCTCCTTCAGCTTCTAATTGCAGCCATAAACACATGTTTCCACTGCCAGAATAAAGTGGCAGAAAGATCTTTGGTGGGGAGCATCAAAGTCACGTGAACTTCATCCTGTATCCAAAACTTTTGTGCCAGTGTGTGAATTTTAACCGCTGCCTCCTGGGGCTCCCAGCTGCTGCCACTACTGCACCACTTCGGGCTCCCCACTGCCACTGCCAACTCGGCCATATCTGATCAGGCGGGACCACTTCTCCAGGACAGGGGCAGGAGCAGGAAGAACAGAAAGGGACAAGGAGGAGGATGCAAGGGAAAGGGGTGGAAAGGGAAATAAGGGGCAAAGGGTGAGAATAAGGAGCAAAGGGTAGGACAGGTGATTAAGTGGTGGGTGGTTGGGCAAACAATTGGGTTAGCAAGAGGGCAAGGGGCTGGCAAGGAAGTGAGAGAATGGGTGGGTGGGCAGGGAGTGACTTGATGGGCAAAGTGGCGAGCAATCTGGGATGGAAAAGTAAGCAGCTGGATGGGCAAGCATGTGAGAGAGTGAGCGGGTAGGCAGGGGGTGAGTGAAGGGCAACAACAGGGAGGCAAAAGGGCAAGCAGGCTGGTGGAGGGATGAGTAATCAGGGGGCAGAAGACTCGGCGGATGACTGAGCAAAGGGTGAACAACTGGGTGGGCAGGTGGGCTAAGGGGCAATTGGGCAGGCAGGGGCTGGGCCATCAGGGGGCAGAAGAGTGATCAGGTGGGAGGGTGGGGTGGGCATCAGTGGATGAAGTGGCACTTCGTTGGGCTTATGGGTGATTAGGTGAGGGGGGACAATTCGTTGGGAGGCCACAGAACATTGGGTGTGTCGGAATCCAGCTCCGACAACCTGTGGTGAAGGGAGAGATCCCTGAAAGGGCCCAGGGAGGGATCTCTGAAATAAAGGAGACAGCAGTCAAGTTATCTGGTTCAAAGCGTGCTCAGGGTCATCAGCTGAAGTACAGGAACACACAACAGAACTGAACAGAACTGAACTGAACTGCCTCAGGATGCCCGGCATCTCCTTTTATTGAGTACAGAAGTTACATAACTCAGGGCTTGAACCAATAGGGCGTTGAGTGTAATCTGCCCAGCAACAAACCACACAAGGACATCAACGTGGTACAATGCATGAGTACATGATAACAAGCACGTAAGTTATGGCGCATATTCCCATATGGGTGGGCAGATAGGTCAGTGAGGGGGACAACTGAGAGGGTGTAGGGGCAAGTGATGCAGGTGGCACTGGTTGTTTTGTCAAGTGTAATGCTTTTATATATATTTTTTATTTTTAATTTCTGCTATCTGGTATAGTGCTGTATCAGACAGCAGGCATTTTTTAAAAAGCAGATGGGGTGTTCACCTATGTGGAATTGATTCCAATGAATTGATTCCACACCCACCCCAAAATAAACAGTTTGATGGGAAAGAAGTAGAAAAGCTCACTCCCCTGCCACAGTACTCTGCGCATAGACATACCACATGTGTGCGCTAAAAATACCAAAAAAAAAAATTCTTTTTAGCAGGGCCCAGCACAATAGCGGTTTTAACTGTCTGTGGAAGTGAGCCCTAAGACCATTTAGTCTCTTCTTTGCTCAACTTGCAAAGTAATAGCTAATTATACATGAAGACATGATGCTATGCAGAGACGTGGGGCATTATCTGCATCTCCAAGCAGCCGCTAATTGACTAGCTATCCTCAGTAGAGGTCGACCTTCCTTCACCTCAGTAAAGAAAGGAGCACAAAAAAGCATGCCTACAAGCATCAGCTGCCAACAAACATTAGAGACTTTGAAATAAATATTATGAAATGCAGCAGTATCACAAAATACTGGACTTGATATTTGTCAGTTTCACGTTCTTATTCATTTTTTACATTACATTTCAGCCTTTGTTTTGCCACTCAGTGCAAGCCTAGCCAAGAGCATAGAGAGGTCTTTCTTTCTTTGGACTATAAATTCCCACACACAAACACCCACCAGAGGATTTTGGGTGATGTATTCCAGAAACGCAACTCCTGCAAGCACTATTCATGTCAGAAAGTATTTATTCTCCCTGACTTAAAAGATTCACTTATTTCAACTAGCTGGGTACACTTTAGTTCTCTCTTTCAAACTCCCTTTTTTTCAATGTGAAGAAAGGATCATACCCTTCGTGGAGGAGGCTGCAGTTTCAAAAGTTCCATATGCAGAAGGGAGCAGATTAATTTCCTCAATCCTATCTTTCCCCTCCACAGGAACTAATGCCAATGTGGCTGGTTTTCCCATTTACATATCTGGGATTTAGCATCAGGAATTTCAACCAAGCTATATAAATTTAGAGGCAACCAGTACCCGTTTCCCCCTTCTCTCACCCATAATGATGTACCTGTTGTCCCTGACCATATCCCTCCCCTGCCCTGAAAAAAACCCCATTAGCCGCTCCCCGACTCTCCTACCCAATTCTCTTTCCCAGTTTTCTTGTAGAACTTATTTTGTTTTGTCTTTTTCCGAAAGAAAAATGAATACAACTTCCTATAGTAAGATTATGTCATATAGTGTGAAACTGAGATTTCTTTATTTGTTTATTTATTTATTTATTTATTTGTTTAATGTGTAAGAAGGAATTTTGTGCGGTCATGATGTGCAGTAGGGTAATGTCCAATGTAATTTATAGCTTCCCAGTTGAAGGAAATTTTTAATTCATGCGTATTGTATTTTAAAGATGAAAATGAAGAATGTTTTGTGCAACAATGACAATAACACATCCTCAGTATAATTATTATATTAAGTACATATTCAATAGATCCAGGCCTAAAGACATCCAAAATTTGAAAAACAAAGGTGCAAACATTTTGGAGTTAGCTAAATGACACTGTTTCGAGTAAGAGAAAAAGGGAAAGATATATACCTTCCAAAAGGTCCATCTGCTGTTCTACTACTATCCGATCAATCTGTAACAAGTGAAAAGAAAATGGATATTAAAATGGATATTAAAACAGGAATAAATCATCAAATACTTATATTTGTGCAATTATCTAATGTTCTGTGACATAATGTATTTATATAAAATTTACTATATGACATTAAATCTTCCTCCAGAAAATGATATAAAGAAGGAAAAGATTAAAGGGGACGAACAGGAAATAATAAGTTACCTGGGTTAAATACTCCAATCCAGGGGGGCATTTGGGAGGTACAGGTGGAGCTGGCATCCAAACTACGGGTGCAGCGGGCTGGCTTTGTAATGGGACAAGTCCAGAGGATGCTGGGTGATACTGGTAAGCAAAAGCAGGTTGTGCTGGACAAAAAAGAAAGAACTCAAATCAAATTGAAACAAAATACTTGTGCTCGCTAGACTTGGAAGACGTTGGATGAAAGCTTATTTTCTTAATTTACACTTCATCTGCCACAGTGATTTTTTTTCTGGACGTAAACAATTACAGAGTGCACCACCAAAGATCACAAGGCTCCCATTGGAACCCTTTCATTGTGGAGAAGTCATTGGGGGCTTACTTGTAACAACTGGTCCAGACATATATCCAGTAGATCCATATGGCACTTGGGAAACCGGAGGTGGATAATGTGGAGCTGGTTCTGTTCCTGGGTATGGTGGAGGTTGTAGAACAGGTGCATTTTCCTTGGCTTGAAAAAAAAGAAAGAAATGAAATTTGGATTATCTTGCACTATTCTTAAATGCCCCATCTCCCACATGAGAAAGAGAGATTTAATAGCTGAATGCCTGGTAAGGCCAACAGCAAAAGAAAGAAAGAAAGAAAGAAAGAAAGAAAGAAAGAAAGAAAGAAAGAAAGAAAGAAAGAAAGAAAGAAAGAAAGAAAGAAAGAAAGAAAGAAAGAAAGAAAGAAAGA